GGACGAGGTAAAGGGGGGGCGAGATAAAGTAGGGGGCGAGGTAAAGGAGGGGGGAGAGGTAAGGGGGGGCGAGGTAAAGGAGGGGGACGAGGTAAAGTGATGTCACGTGTACAAGGCGCTCAGGAGAGCATCCCTGTCAATCACCAGCTTTCAGGGAGATGCTCTGGGTCAGGAGGTCTCTAAGGGGGTTCGTTCAGTCCCTGATCAGCGGTCTTCCGGCCCTAAGATTCCTGCCCTGTCGGTTTAGCCCGCCCTCCCCACTTCCCGCAGTCCTACACCTGAGCGTGAGGATACAGGAGCACATGCGCAGTGCTGCATCTGCGTCTGAGCAGCCCTGATGGAACATTGTCTTCAAAATGAACCCGTGTCAGAAGCTTGATAGGAAATGTGTCCCCAGACGGTGTTGAAATGATGGCAGTTTTCAGAAAAAAGTACCCTGCTGTTACTAATTCCTTAGGCTTTCTTTTTTCCCTTTCTTATTTATATATTTTTTTGACATTGCCTCATATAGCCTAGGCTGCCTTGACCTTGAAATGATTATCCTGCATCTACTCACACTTCCAGGTTAGAGCTGTGCACCAGCATGCCGTCGTTATTTGCCCCCGGGGAGACTGAACTCGGCTTCGTGCACGCTCTTATTTAAGTACTAACACATAATTTTAAAAAGGGAAAAAGCCCCCAATGTCAGGAGAATTGCAGGCCACAGTGAAAAATCTCTGTGTTGTCACTGATCTTTTCACAGGCAGTTGGTTCCTGAGAAGAAGCTTGGGGAGTTGATCACTTTCCAAACCCCATAGAGATTTGCCTCACCAGACCAAAGGGAGGTGATGTAGGAGATGAAGGGGTCACACTTTTTAAGACACATTATATTCAGAGAGGGCCACCCTTGCTGTATATTTCCCACAGCTCAGGGTAAGAACCTTGGAGAACAGTGAAGTCTATTCTCTTTTAGAAATGAAAGTGCTGTCGGGATGATGCCCTTGAATGCAATTCAGTCAAGCCCCTGGGCCATTGTAGAACTGGACTTCAGGAAACATGTGGGATTCAGCATATCAGAAACATTTACACACACATGCCAGCTCTGACTGAGACCTGGGGTTCAATAATTATACTAGGCTGTCTGACCAGTGATTTAAAGGAATTGCCACCACCTCTCCAGCAGCAGAATTAAAAGTGGACACCATGCCCACATGCTTGGAATCTCAAACATTCAGAAGGCTAAGGGAAGAGGGTAACAAATTCAAAGCGAATCTGCTCTATTATAGTGAGTTCTGGGCCAGCCTCAGCTTCATAGAAAAACCATATCTCAACAAAAGAAAAGAAAATTAAATAATTCCAAACAATCTTCTTGTCACAAACTTGATTGCAAAAGACTTAGTGATACTGTTTGTGTGCAAGTACTAAGTCACTGTCTCATTCCCTTATGCCTGGAGATAGATCTCTTCTATCCAGAAGTAGAAATCACTTCCCATCATAATGACAGTCTAATTTTGCAGTTGTGTTTTTGCTATGGTGCACTATTCCTGACAACTTTAAAAGAAAACAGGAGACGTTGCAAAAAACTATGCTACAATATCAAAGCGCATTAGTAAATGTTGGAGTAGATCTCTTCTCATACCATGAATAAACTTAAGCTATTTAGGATACGATGTTTCTTATTATCTATACCTTCCGTCATTTATAGATTCCTAGTTTACTCCAGCTTGCTCAGTTCCAGATCTTGCTTCTGGTGCCTTTGTGTATGCACTATCTGTTTTCTTTGGAAAGCTGCTTGCTGCTGCCTAAGTTATCTTTGGATGCCCTCCTGGCCTGTGAGGTTCATCAGGGAGTGGTTTGTGGTAGGAAACTCTCTCGGGGTGCTGGGCAGTGACAGTGAGCCAAGATTCCAGTCAGACAAGATAACCAAGTGAAACTGGTACCTATGGACATACAGTGTATCGTTTTGCTGTGCTATGGGATTTACAAGGTCAACTGTGCCCAACACACTTGACTGGTGTCCACATGTGTTGGGCAGATGACTGTGGAAGCATGTGAGTTTGGAACTTCAATGTCCATGTAGAAGCCAGACCTGGTGCTACATGCCTCTAACTACAGTGTTGGGTGTGGGGGTCAGAGACAGATGGATTCCTGGTGTTCACACAACTAGCCCAGGCTGATGGATAAGCTGTACTTCCAGTGTTTAACTGTCTCTCAAAAATTAGGTAGAGAATGACTGAGGGAAACACCCATGTAGGCCTCTGGACTCCACATGTGTTTACATGTGCATACATCCACATGCAAACACACATCAAGGCTGGAGAGATGGCTCAGTGTTTAAGAGCACTGGCTGTTCTTGCAGAAGACCCAGGTTCAAGTCCCAGCACCCACACGGCGACTAAGAACTGTCCGTAACTCCCGTTTCCAGGGGATCTGACGCCCTCTTTCTTTCCCCTCAGGTGTTGGCAGGACACGGGTGCACTTACACATATGCACGCATACCACTCATATACAGAAAACAAAAATAAAAAAGTCAAAAAAGAAAACATGCATCACACACACACATACACACAAACAAATGAGCTTTAGTTATTCCAGACTTATCAAGGATGATCATTACACTTAAAAAAGAAATACCTTTTATTTTTATTTTTATGTTTTAATTAAAAAAATATATATTTTTTTTGGTCTTTTTGAGACAGGGTCTCCCTGTAGCCCCAGCTGTCCTGGAACTCACTACATAGACCAGGCTGGCCTTGAACTCACAGAGATCTGCCTGCCTCTGCCTCCCAAGTGCTGGGATTAAAGGCGTGCGCCACCACGCCTGGCTAATATCTTTTATTTTTAAACAAATGAGCTTCAGTTGTTCCAAACTTATCAAGGATAATCATTAGATTTAAAAAAGAAAGTAATACCTTTTATTTTTTTCATCAAATTCCTGCCCTCAGAACTGTTCCATGAATCTTAGGCTGAGGATCCTGCTCCGGTTTTCAAATTCTGCCTCATCACCGACTATCTTTAAGTTAATCGCTTAGTGAGAATTTGATAATATGAGCTAGTGGGCAAAAAGCCTAAACACTGAAATAGCAGAGTTAACACACATAGTAAAAGTCAGTCAGAGCCTTTTCAAGTGCTTCGAATATTTGAGATTCTAAAAAGCTCAATGAGTAATGCTAGTATATGTTTCTCTCTCTCTCTGTCTCTCTCTTGCTCTCTCACCCTTTCTCTCTCTCTCTCTCTCTCTCTCTCTTTCTCTCTGTATTTTACTCTCCCCCCTCACAAGGGACACACCCATATCCTCTACACACA